TCTGAGGTTGGGCTCCTAGGATCAGTTCAACAATGATAGGCCCGATTCTGGGCTAGTCCAGGTGGGTTGTTTTCAGCCCATACTGAAGGGAAGGTGAGTCTGAACTCCGGCGGGCTGCTCGGTTGGGTCTGGGCACAGAATAGCCTCCATTCTTCTTCCCTTGGTGTGGTAATTGCTAGTATTAGAGACCTTGTCTCCTCCTGCCTTGGGTTCAGTGAGAGGCTAGTGTGTCCTGTGGGCTCAAAGATTATCTGAGCCCTAAGCTTGGAGAGTATGTCTCGGCCCAGGAGAGGGATGGGGCAATCGGGCAGATATAGGAATTCGTGTCGGACCTTGTGGCCCCCGAGTTTGCACTGGCGAGCCTGGCAAAAGGGCTGTTGTATCGCCTGCATCCCGGTGGCCATGAGGATGGTCACAGTCCTTTTGCTGAAAGGTGCCACTGGGGAGGGGACAACAGAGTGCTCGGCCCCAGTATCAACCATAAAAGTCACTGGTTGGCCCCCCCTTCATTTTGACCGTGGGCTCATGGGGACCAAGGAGGAAAGAGCCCAGTCCCACTCAGTCTGAGTCCATTCCCGCAAGGCCTTATGAGGTCCTCCTCTCGGGGTTCTTCCTTGTAGCGACTGGGCTCTTTAAGCCTTTCCCCGGTTGGGACATTCGTTTTTCCAATGTCCTTTCTCTTTACAGGAGGCACATTGATCCCTTGCCAAGGGGGTTCTGGGCTTCCCCCCTTTCGGTGGTTGGGGTCTCCCTGCCTTTGTGTTGTCCTTTTCTTTAAAGGCAGTGGCCAGGAGGCTGACTTTCTTTTTCATCTTTTTGTCGGCTTCCCGTTTGGCTGCGACCTCCCTGTTCGTGTAGACCTTATTGGCAATCTCTGTTAGTTGGGTGTTGTTCATCCCGGCAAAACCCGCTAGTTTCTCAAGTTTTTTTCTGATGTCTGGGGCGGCTTGAGCCATGAAGGAAGTGTTTACCATCTGTTGGCTTTCCTGTGCCTCGGGGTCAAATGGAGTGTATATCCTGTAGGCTTTACATAGTCTTTCGTAGTAGTCCCCGGGGGACTCCCCTGGTTGTTGAGTGACTGAGGATACCTTAGTCATATTTTTGGGTTTCTTAGCTCCTACCCGGATTCCCTGGAGGAGGGCCTCCTGGTACCGGCGGATGTGGGCCTGTCCCTTGGTTGTGGTGAAGTCCCATGCTGGGCGCTCTTCGGGTGTGGCTGTATTAGCCCGGGCAGCAGGGCTGATGACTCCCGCTGGTGCATGCTCTTCCAGGTTCCTTGGAAAGGTGCACCTTTCATTATTCTCCTCCTTTCCTCTGTGTTAAATAGTGTGTGGAGGAACTGTTGGCAGTCTTCCCAGGTTGGCCGATGAATCTGGAAGAGGGATTCTATGAGGTCTACCATAGCCTGTGGTTTCTCAGAGTAGGATGGGGTGTTATGTTTCCAGTTGAGGAGGTCAGTAGTGGTGAAGGGCTGATAATACATCATGAAATGGCCAGGTTGGATTGTCCTGTCTTCATTGTGCCTCTTGGGTTCCTGTGTCTCTCGTACCAGCATTTGGAGGGTGCTTGCACCCGGCCTGGGGCACAGCTTGGCTGCTGGTCCTGGAGAAAGGGGATCTTTTAGGCCTAGGGGCACCGGTGGATCCTCTGGGCCTGGGGGCGCCAGTGAAACCGATGGTGGCAGAGTGTCTGGAGCTGAAGGGCCAGGTGTAGGCGGTCTTGGGCGTACGTACAGTGGGGACAGGGTTGGTTCATCCTTGGGATCTCTGGCTAGGATTTGTGGAGACTGGGATTTTTGCTGATTTTCTTTAGGTTGCTTGGATGAGGCTATTAAGACTCTGGCCTGTCCCTGCCTATTGCAAGCGAATTGCACCCGGGGGGGAGGGTCTGAGCAATTCCTAGGCAGGAGTCAATGTACGGAAATTGGTCAGGGTGTCCTGGTTCTCCTGTTATGACTCACCATACTCGACGAATCGTTGGGACATCCAATGTTCCTTCTGAAGGCCACCCAACATCAAAGGTGGGCCATTCCAATTCACATAGGGTTCTCAACTTGCTGGGGTTCATCCTGACTCCATAGTCTCCTGAAAACCCCTTCTTGAAATTTTTGATCATGGTCTCTAGAACCGTAGGTTTACTCTGCCCTGACCCCATGGTGAT